GATTTGTGGGTTTATCATCATCTGTATAATTTTTATTTATTTTTTCTCTTTCGAATTATTTATACTTTCTTGCTCCCTGGGTGCTCTCGTTTCCAAAAAATTGCAGTCTGATAAGGTGTTCAATCAAGACTTGTACTTCAAGAAAACTGTCAAATTTGTTGGGGAACCTATGACACACTTGGAATCCATTGCCTCCTCAGCGGTACTGACTTATAATTCTGGTTATTGTACATATTATTTTCAATGGATTTAGCAATGATCTTTTTATATTGTTATAGTTCTACCATGGTTTTCATATGCAATAGGTTTATTCTGTTTTTAGGTCAGGGCTGCCATTAAGGTGAAGGCTTCAGTTATTATTTGCTTCACTTCATCTGGAAGAGCTGCAAGGTATCAGTGTTTGGGGATCCAGTGTTGGTCTCCCAACAAGCTGAAGTTCTTTGAAAATTTTTGTAGCCAATTATTTCAGAGATCTAAGCTTGCTATTCAAATATGCAGATTAATTGCTAAATATAGGCCCACAATGCCGGTTATATCTGTTGTCATTCCTAGGCTGAAGACAAATCAGTTAAGGTGGAGCTTTACTGGAGCATTTGAGGTATGCCTTGTATCATTTTGTGCCGTTGTTTCCCACTGCTGTCATCTCATTGAGTGATTCATACACATATTTTAACAAACAAAAATTTCCCGCTCTTGGGGTGGTTGAGGATTTAGTAAGGGAGCCTTTTTATGCATTTGACCTCAGTTCTAGCTACTAGTCGGTGAACTGTTCAATGCTGTTTTGCTATTGTGGCCTCATTTTCTTGTGCTTTTCAAAAACAATTATCAGAATGCTGAAGAGGAATCGATAGACATAATTTCAAACTTATTGACTATGTATTGAATTGATATACTCTCAGATTCATCCTGGCAAAGTTTATGTTCAAAGGCGATTAAAATAATTATGATATGTACGGCCTATAGTTTCTGCTTTCATGTCTTGGATTAGCTTGTGTATCAATTGTTCTACATAGTTGTTGGATATTCGTTATCCATACTTTAGGCATGTGTAGAAGGGATTGTATAATTCTCTCTTTTGTTTTAAGGTAAGTATTAACGTGCAATAAGAAGTCGTGTATTTGTATACATCAAACTGAATGACATCAGATTAACTATCATCTGTTATTATCTGCACTTTGTGTCATTGATTTCGAACATTTCCCAAAACGGCAAAATTTTGGATATGTTGTTTTAACTACTTAAATTGGTAATTTCTATTTTTGGTGACGTGTTATTTGGTATTGGTCTATTTCAGGCTAGGCAGTCTTTAATAGTAAGAGGCCTCTTCCCTATGCTTGCTGATCCACGACATCCTGTAAGTTCCGTTTTCCATTTATTCTGCATGATGGATAATGTAAATGATGCTTTTAGTTTTATATCTGAATCCGCTTTCTCATTTGTGATCCTTTAATAAGGTCAGGCTGGTAAAAGTAGATGCTTTAGCTTCGAAATTATTCACAAGGATTTGATTGTTGGTCTATACCTGTTTTGCTTTTGAACAAAATTAATTGTGATTTTCCGGGCCCTTCACTTGACACCAGAAAAGGAGCATGTGCAAGTACAATGTAGGATATACAATGGAACAAAACCTCTAGAAAAGGTTTGAAGTCACCAATAAATGAGGGGGGCCCTTTGTTGAGAATGAATGAATGGCTGCATTTATTATGGACTTGCATGATAAATAATCATATAGACGCGAGAAATGTGCATTTATTTTATCAAGAACTTTGTGTACAGGGAAATTTTCCCATGTGTACTACAATGCATATTAACAATGGACTTCCAACTGATTTATGGTTTCCCATTGTATTTATGGCTTGGTGGTAGGCGGAGTCTACTAGCGCAACAAATGAGTCAGTTCTAAAGGTTGCTCTGGATCATGGGAAAGCATATGGAGTAATTAAGTCGCATGACCGAGTTGTTGTTTGTCAGAAGGTTGGGGATGCATCTGTGGTAAAGATTATCGAGCTTGAAGATTGAAATGACCTTTCCAGATAATCTTTTTCTGCTAATTTTTTGAAGTGACCGTTTTCTTGGTGCTATCCACCACCATATGAGGTATAATCATGAATTAATACATGGTTTTGTTGGAGATTGAGGAGATCTGATAAGTGAGAAAATGTAAAACGACTCAAGAAAACATTGTTAACTTTCCCAAATTTAGAAGCCATGGTGTACATGGCAAATCTTAATTTATTCACAACTTCTTGTTCAACCAATGCCCAATTCATGATTTCCGGGTAGTTTCATTTCTTGATCATGCACTGAATTGTTCTTTCTTTGTAGTTTTGAGATTTACATGTTGCTATAGAAAAATCTGTGCCATTCTCTTTTGAAATCATATTGTAGAACAGTTGTTGAAGACCGACCTAAGCAATGAAGTCACCAGTTGACAGTAAGTCATTTATATACCTTTTTCTTATTGCAAGTCATTTATAAGCTTTAAGGGTCATGTCTGACATTTACAGTAGTAATTAGTAAGGGACCATAAGAATCATACAGACCAATGACTATATGCAAATGAAATTAATAAATGGCGCATGCGCATATGAAATTGAGTAATAGTTTATATCTTTTTTTATTTTATATTTTATTTTTAGTACATACCAATAGCAACCAATAAACTGTAATATTTACTTTGATGTTTATTATTCGAAAATAATTTAGAATTGTAAGAGAAACATAGTTATGCTAAAATAATTAAAACGCACCTTGATTTTTTTTTAATGGACTTTTAAAACTAAGATAATATTAATTGATTGAATTGGATTTGGTTTGATTAGTTTAGAGAGAGAGAAAGGATAATTGTTGTATAATGTTTGTGAATCCCACCTAATCAAGGATTTAAATTACTCATTTTAACACAAATCTCTTCTCCAATCGTAATAGATATAAGTTGATGAAAATGTACCAAGGATTTGAAAGGTACGAGCATATATTGACTGATAAAACTTTTGAATCGGTGTGGTAGAAATGTTTAGAGAGATAGAATGTGGTGAAGTAGGAGTAGCCAAGTAGGGTGGTGGACTGGTGGACCAGGTGAGGTGTTGGTGCTGCTGGTGCTGGTGCTGGTGCTGGTGCTTGCTTTATGGAGTTATAAATTCAGTCCGCCTACAGCGCCGCCTGCGCACAGACATCCCCACAGTGCATCTCTTGTGGGTGAAGTAATCTCATCCTCTCTTAATTTTGTCTTAATTCTCGCACCATTCAGCAATCAATTCACATAGTTTTAGCTCATTTTCTCCTTCCTTTTAGGTTTTAACTTGCTTTACATACAACAGTCTTCTCCATCACAGCTTCTCTGTTGTTCATAAATGGACCACTTCACTCTTACACTCTATTCCAACTCTCTTTTCTAAGCACTATTTCTTTTACTCAACCCAACCTTGGAGGTTGGTCCTCCTACTTTTCTTTCTCAAATCTAATCTCTTTTTCTTTGGTTATTCGTTAATCATTCATTATTCTTTTAGGTTATATGCATGCAAGTCTTATATCATACCTAAGTGCTAAATATCGAGGTCATGGGGTTTTTGAACTTAGCATCTAACCTCAGCTCAACTTAGTTCATCCTAAAGAATCTATCTCCTCTAAGTTCATCACTGCTTGTAGCCAGTCGAACTCCCGAGAGCTTATAGTTCCTCATACTGTAGCACTTAGAAGCTTGTTGTCTCTTATAATCTAGCTCTCTCGAACTTATGAGGAGCTTAAATTTTTAGGATAATATAATTAGCTCTTTACTTTTTCAAGTAGATAATTTTCAAACCACTTGCACACTTGACATCTAGGACACGACCCTCTGATTGATCATCATCAAATGCTATGTGTACCTCATCTTGACGGTTCACGTTTAAGGATAAGTTAGTAAACCCCTCACCACCCCCACATAATAACATGATCACATTATCTTACATATCACAATTCACTAACGCACTATGTGGACCCTATCTTGACAGTCCACGCTTGAGGGTAAGCTAGTAAATCTCTCGCCATCCCTACATAGGAACATACTCATGTCATTTCATATATCAATCACTAAAATTGTAAGTGGGCCCCGTCTTGATGGTCCACATTTATGAATAAGCTAGCAAGTCTTTAACTATGCCGACCTTGGCACATAATCATATCAAAAGTTGTAGATCATGAATAATAGGGTATAGTATATTGTTTAACTGAATCACCTAGCATGCTTAGAACTTGCCTAATTTTACCTGATATTTCGTAAATCATCAGAATTAGGCATACATGCATACTTCAATCATTTATCGTACTTTCGACAATTAATCTCAATCGGTTCAACTCTAATTCATCCTTACAATCCAACACTAACTCATATCTAACCCACCAATCACTTAATGTGTTTCAATGCATCTAATTCTAGCCAAACAATCAATTACCTATAACAGTCCAAATCCACCGCTAGCAAGCATATATTGTCCTCTTCGACCCTAAAGGAGGGTGGAGGGTGAGATCTCACATCAGTTGGAGAGGAGAACGAAGCAATTCCTTGTAAGAGTTTAAAACCTCTCCTTAACAGACCATTTTAAGATTGAGCGGCTGACGGCTATATGCATTGAGCCAAAGCTGAAAATAACTGCTAAGAATAGGTTTGAGTTATTACAAATGATATCAAAGCTAGTCATCAGACGGTGCGATGGCAGTGGTTGGAGTAAGACTAGACCCTCCCTATAGCAGATACTTTTAAAACTCTAAGATTGATGACGATACATAACAAACCGAAGGAAATAATATGTTGTAATGGACTTGGGTGTTAGACTACCAGTCACACATTTGGTAACCATTGGTAGTCAAAATTAAACTAGGTACTGAGAGAGAGAGAGAGAGAGAGAGAGAGAGAGAGAGAGAGAGAGAGGTTGATGGTATGATCAATCTCTTTCGTGATTAATACCCCTTCCAGTCTGCCAACCTTAACCAATTCACGTTTTCACTTTCTCTATCTCTTTGTGTTTTGCAGCTCCCAGAACCCTCCATGCTCTGCTCTGCCTGCACCTGTTTTAGCTGACAACATATATGCTCTGCTCTGCTTGCACCTGCCTTCCTTCCTTCCTTCCTTCCTTCCTTCCTTTTACTTCTTTTTAACCTCTCCCTCTCTTCCTCTCTTCCTCTCTGTAAAAGAAAACAGAGGAAAAAAGCATGGAGTGGAATAATGGCAGTCTCAATCCTAAGCTTCTTTCTCCACCTCTACTCCACCATCAATCTTCATACACTCCATGCTACAACTACAACTACACCTACAATTTGGATCATTTTCCTGGTAATTTTCTTTTCTTTTCTTTTCTTTTTATTTTTCTTCATTCTACAAACCATTTTGGATCATCATACCAAACGTTTCTCCCTAAACCCATTTCTTAAAATCGAGCTCAAAAGCTTCTAAACCCTGTTCCATAGGCCTTGGGGCTGGGCCAGGGGAAGATTGTTGAGGATCGTTGAGAGGGAATCCCACTTTTGATCCTGGGTTTATAAGTAAGGAATACATCGAGCTTATGCTCAAAGTGGACAATATCATGATACTACTATGTAGAGTCGTGATTTCTAACAAACCCACGAGTAATTAAACTCGAAATGGGAAATTTGATCTTTGTTTAACATTATGGGGTTTAATCAGTGTTAGAGAGGAAGAATCCGGCGGAGGAAAGTGTGGTTGGAGGAGTGGATCAGAAGAAGAACAAGAACAAGACCAAGACCAAGTTGAGTCCGGATCAGTTGGAGTCATTGGAGAGAAGGTTTCAAGAGGAAGTGAAGCTTGATCCGGACAGGAAAATGAAGCTGTCAAAGGAACTTGGGCTCCAACCAAGGCAAATTGCAATTTGGTTCCAAAATAGAAGAGCTCGCTGGAAGACTAAGCAGCTTCAGCATCTCTATGACACCCTCAAGCAAGAATTTGACACCATCTCTAACCAAAAACACACCCTTCAACAACAGGTTTCTATCTTTTTTTTTCTCTCATCTCCTTTAATTAGTTATACTCCATGCACAATAACATTGTTGGATGGAAGCAACAGGTAATGAAACTAAAGACCATCCTGCTGCTAAGAGAAGAAGCCACCAGGAATCATCAAGGGTCGATGGCTTACACGGACGAAGAGACGGTGGAGAGCACGTCGGTCGGGGTTCGGAGCAGTACCAATAATTACATGTACAATAATAAGGTGGAAGATTTGGTTGAAATATCAGGTTCAGGTCCTCCTCCTCCTCCATTCTGGTGGGGTGCTGAGGAGGATGCTCCCCGCCCTTCTTACCCTTAATTCCCTTGAATTTATTAGTTTTGGTTTAGCTTTCTTAGTGTTTGATCACCATCAAACAACATGCTGTTGTCTTGGAACCAAATCTTTGAATGGAATGCTGTTGTGTTCTTTTAATTTTAGGTGAGTTCAAAATTGTAATAAACTTATAATAATAACAACTCTGTTTTAAGATGCATCTAATATGGTAAGTGAATAAGTAGTCTCTCGTGTGAGTGGACTGACGTCCATCCTTTCCAGGAACTTGGGAGGTCTTTTTAAGTTTGTTAGTCTCCAATTTTTCACCCTCCCATTTTAATTCACCTTATAATGATAATGCACACACCTCCATGAAATGAATGTCTTGTCTTGTTCTTTTTTTGTTTGCTTATATATTCTCTACAGCGGTTAGAGCATTCCATTGATCTGTTCCAGTAAGTAACAAATGGTATATAAAGATTTGTTAGAGTCACACAACAACACACCCTCGATCTAGATAAACTCAAAGAATATGAAGAAGAAAATAAAAAAAATATATTGACCTAAAATTTATATTGATAAGTATGTACCGAGAGAATACAACATGTATATATAGCAAGAGAATACATAATACAAATATATCTTCAAACAAAACAAGAGTTATATAATATAAATACCCACTATATATAACTTATTCACAGATACTATATATATAACTTATCCTACCCTATACTACATACTATATATATATATAACTTATCTACCCTATATATATCTACCCGCTCTTGATTATAAATCGTCATTTATTATACAAGTTTATTTTCAATATATAGTTTACTACGTTTACTATATAAGTTCATTTTCCACTGTCTATAAGAATAGCGGTATATATATATATATTCATTTTCCATATATACTTTTACTATCTATAACAATTGACTATAAATAGCCGGTTCATTTTCATATAGTATATGATTTGGTATAACTTACCTACCACATATATCTCTTATCAACTTTTTACTATAAATAGTCGTTTACTATTCTATCACAACACTCCACAGTCTCTATAACCCAAAATAAGATTAGCTGTGGGCAGTGACCTTGAGCGGTTATAGAACCAATAATATTAATGGTGGGTGGTGGCCTGGAGCTAGGAGCTATTATAAATGGTATCAAAGCAAGACACTGGATAGGCAAAGAGGACACTAGTCTCCCAAGAGAGGTGGATTGTGAGATCTTTAGAGAACTCCCAAGACAGGTGGATTGTGAGATCTTTGGAGAAGGAAACAAAATATTTGTTATAAGAGTGTTAAAACCTCTCCTTATTAGACATTAACAGTCATATGTATACAACGAGCTAAAATGAACAATATGTATTAGCCACGGGGCTTTCTTTTTTCCCACTAATTTGGAGCCCGTTTGTTATTAGGAGCAAGATAGAGCGCAAGTGTAGTGGGGTTGAATAAATACTTAAAAAGATTACACAAACTACATATAAATGATACGATAAATGTGGTGCATAGAATAGTGTGATAAGAGACTTAGAGAGCATGAAACTAAAATGAAATATCCAAATGCACACATAAATGGAACAAGAAACGCAAAACAAAAATAGTTGTGTCCTTTTTAGTGGTAGCTGGGGAGGGTAAGGCAACATATATTATGTCAACATCATCTTGGGGCACATAAAATATGATTATGTTTGTGGTGAAAGAGTACTGAGATATTTGCAGGGCACCTGAAATTGGAAGATGGTAGAGCACCTGAAATGTAGTTATAATGCATTGTACGTTCCTTTCCAATAATGTAGACAGCCTTTACTTAGTAGTGGAATGGTTTTGAAGTTGTTGAAATTTGACGGAAGAAATCTCATTTTCAATGCATTATTGTTACGTTACTTTCCATTCATAGCAGCACCGTACCGGAAGCTCCCCGAACCCTCCATCAGCAGCTCCCCCATTTATTAAACCCTCAAACCCCTCCTACCTCATCGCCATCGCCATCGCCATCTTCAAAAAGAACAACCCAAATCACAACATAACAGCTGATCGGTAGTTGGAGGGTATGGAACCTCTCCCTAGCAGACACGTCGTAAAATAGGTCAAAGTAGACAATATCTGCTGATAACAATAGATTTGGGTCAAGAATGCTGGACCTCAGGAAGTGGATTGTGAGATCCCACGTCGGTTGGGGAAGGGAACGAAACATTCCTTACAAGGAACCGATAGAGATAGTAAGGGTGGTTTCCAATGATGGAAGGGGGTTTTATTTGAACAGCCTTTACTTATTTGAATGGTTTTGATAGTGAGTGAAAATTTAGGGTGGAAATTAAGTTTGATGTATGCATGCATGCATTGGTACGTTACTGTCCAATGACAGAAGGGCTTTTTGTATTTGGTCAGCCTTCAGTGGTGGGGTACTAGAATGGTTTTTCGTAGTTCGTGAGAGGTGAGGTTAGAAATGTAATTATGACCCTTGCCTAATCCTACTTTTCACTAATACAACACAACGGCTATTACATTATTGGGACAATATCATTACTCTCGACAAAGACTGTACCCAGGTTGAAAATGAATCCAACGTGTCTTGTTTTTTTTATAGTAACTAAGGGTCTTTGTACCATTGGTTCATATTTTTTTTTTGTAATCCTCGATATTATCCGTTTTGGCTCGTTACATATCACCGTTAGTCTCACAGTTTTAAAACGTGTATGTTAGGGAGAGGTTTCCACACTCTTGTAAAAAAATGTTTCGTTCCTCTCTCTAACCAATGTGGGTTCTCATAATTCACCCTCTTTGGAGACCAGCGTTCTCGCTGGCACACCGCCCGGTGATTGGCTCTAATACCATTTGTAATAGTCCGAGCCCACCGCTAGCAGATCGCTTTGGCCTATCACGTATCGCCATCAGCCTCAGGGTGTTAAAATGTGTCTATTAGAGAGAGGTTTCCACACCCTTATAAGAAATATTTCGTTCCTCTCTCTAACCAATGTAGGATCTCATAATCCACCCTCTTTGGGAGACAGTGTTCTCGCTAGCACACCACCCGGTGATTGACTCTAATACCATTTGTAACAGCTCAAGCCCACCGCTAGCAGATATTGTTCGCTTTGGCTTATCACGTATCGTCATCAGCCTCAAGGTGTTAAAACGTGTCTGTTAGAGAGAGGTTTCCACACCCTTATAAGAAATGTTTCGTTCCTCTTTCCAACCAATGTGAGATCTCATAATCCACCCTCTTTGGGGGCCAGCGTTCTCGCTAGCACACCACTTAATGATTGGCTCTAATACCATTTATAATAGCCCAAGCCCACCACTAGCAAATATTGTTCGCTTTAGCTTATTACATGTCGCCATCAACCTTAAGGGTATTAAAACGTGTCTCCAAATCGATATAGGATCTCACCGTTTAAGTTAAAAGAAGTATTATCTGTTGTATTAGAGAAGAAGATGGAGAAGTGCAAGAAACTTTTGAAAATTTAAAATTAAAATGGTTGGATGCCATCACTAAGCACGATCAAACTCCAACTTATTCCTTCGTCGTAGTGTTCTTAGACAAAAAAAAAAAAAAAAATGAG